TTGTGGAATTCTCTTCTGGCTTCCAGTTAAGTTTGATCTTCAAAAATTTAAATGCAATGTCGATTGTTATCTACTGTCTTAGTAATTACTCTTCTATTATTCTTGTCCCTCAACAATGCTTCTGTTTTCTAATTTTTTTACACCAAGTAACCCCTTGTTTTAGTGGTTTTACTGCCTTGCTTGGGAGTGAGCTCTGTTAAAAAAAATAGCATCATGACTGGGAGTGAGTTTAACAAAATAAAAACAAAAACAATCTATTCAATAAAATGTCTTCATATATGGGATTACATATAACTTATATCTACTTAGTGAGAAGGTTAAGCTTCACAGACTAAAGTGGATAAAATAGTGACATAATCCTGACCAATCAGGGTTCATTATAGAAAAAATTTTTACTAATCTGTTTTTTTTTTTCCATGATTCTCATAACATAGAGGAAAAAATTCCATAATGGATAATTTTTTCACATTCTAATGAATGCTCAGCACATTGTCAACCATTGATATTTAAAAGAATAATGAAAAATTACAGTAATGGCTAGCAACGCACAGCTTTGTATAAATACTTGTACCCCTGAACAACACAGTGAACTAAAGGGTACTACTTGCACCCCTGAAGATAATCTTGGAAGTAGATCGAAAGTACTTGGGAAATGAAAATAAAAGAAATTGAAATGGCTATAGCAAGTTTCTCATTCTTTAATATCAATACACGGAAGGCTATTTGTGAGTATGAACAGATTTTCATTAAAAATTAGCAGACAATGCCTTTAATTTAGTCAATCAGATATATATATATATAGACATACATAAACAAGAGAGACTATATTTAGGCAGGAAATATTCATTCAAACAAGTTTGATTAAATGGAACTGACAAGATCTGTCTGTGTAATTTCTTACTGAATTTTTTCCAGAATAAGTTGTCATATATTGGAATCAAATTTGTAGATAACTTTGAAACTCATGCTTGTTCAAGGACTTTCAACCACCTCGGTCATTTTCAAGTATCATGATGTGTCCGTGTAGTAAGAAAGATTCTGTTGGCTACTTATTGCTATTCTTTAGACAGCTGAAAATTTAAAATAAGTTAATAATAAACATGTATATCCATTACTCTACATATTATTCTGTATGCAAGAAAATCAGTACTTATACATAAAGGTGAGGAATGGATTAAGAATTCTTACGACCAATTTGACATCACAATGGGATCACTAGACTCAGCTGAGTCTTCTGATCTCATTGGCCTTTTTATATTATACAACCTTACAGCGCACTATGATATTAATACAAATGATATTGGTTTGTACAGAGACGATGGGCTTATGGTTATTAGAAACTCAACGAACTTCAAAATAGAATTAGAAAGTTATGATATAAAGAATTTAAAAGCATGGGCTTAAAAATTACGGTTAGTACTAAATTAAAAAAAAGTAGACTTCCTAGATATAACATTAGATCTAAATAAAAATACATACACACTTTATAAAAAACCCAACACCAATCCTTTATATATACATCCTAAATCAAATCACCCCCCATCTATAATTAAACATATACCATTATCTATCAGTAAACGAATTAGTACAAACTCAGCAAATGACAAGATTTTCGATGAGCATATCAATTCCTATAATAAGGCTCTAAAAGATAGTGGCTACAAAAACCCAAAACTAACTTATATAAAAAATGAAAATGGAAAGCATAGAAAAAACAGATGTAGAAAGATTATTTGGTATACTCCCCATATAACCAAATGGTAAAAAGAACAAATTAGGACATAAATTCCTTGCATTAATAGTCAAAGCATTTTCCTAGTGAAAAGAAAGTAAACTAAGTACTATTTTCAATAAAAACACCTAAAATTGAGTTATAGCTGTACAAAAAACTTAGAAAAAATCATTAAGAACCATAATGCTAATATCTTAAATAAACACTTATACCAAAACCAAAAAAGTTTAGACAATGGAAAAATTAAGATAAAAACTGATGGAAATAAACAAAAACTATGTAACTGTAGAAACCCTCAAAATTGCCCACTACAAAATAAATGTTGCATTGAATCATTAGTATACCAATGCAATATCTCTTTGATTGAAAGTCCTGATAACATAAAAATATATATAGGTTGCACTAGCCATGAATTCAAAAAAAAAAATTTCAACCAACATCAAACTTCATTTAGAATAAATAGATATAAAAATCAGACATCTCTCTCAAAATATTTCTGGCATCTAAAAGAATCAAATAAAACACCTACAGTAAAATGGAAGTTAATAAGAAAAGCTAGAATTTGTAGGTCATTAAACAACCCTTGTCCTCTATGCATACACAAGAAACTATATATTACTAAGTTTATAAAAAATAAAAATTTACTGAATCAGAGAAATGAAATAGCTATTATATGCCGTCATTGTCAAAAATTAAACTTGTATTTAAAATTTTAAAATTTAAAATTGTAGTTAAAATGAATTCAAACCTAAGCATTTTTTAAAAATTGTAGTTAAATAAAATGTATGCTAACTGAAACACCTCTATAATAAATGTACTACAGACACTTGAATGAATCCAATAAAACACCTACTGAAAAATGAAATTATAACAAAAGCTAGAGGATGTAGGGTAGTGTACGACCCATGTTCTTTGTACATACATATGAAACTTTATTACTTAGGTTATATATATTTAAAATAAAATAATTAATTAATTAATAAATAAAGTTTACTAAATCTGAGAAATGACTTAGATAGTTTTGTAGTAAGTGCCATAAATATTACTTAAATAATATTTAATTATAAAAGTTTAAAAATCGTAATTTACATATACATTGATATGGAAAAATAATTTTACTTACTATGAGTAATTTTCCTTCTGTTATAAAGTAATATAGTCTATTAAAACTAACAATGAAAATATTTTAAAATTTTAAAGTTGTAATTTTAAAATTGTAATTAAAATTGTAGTTAAATAAAATGAATTCTAACCTAAACTTCTTTTAATTAGTACTACACGCACTTAAAAGAATCCAATAAAAACACCTATAGTAAAATAAAATTAATATGAAATGCCATAAGATGTAAGCTTTTGAATGACCCATGCCCTTTGTACTTACATGAGAAACAATATATTACTAGGTTTATATATAAAATAAAAGTTTACTAAATCAGTGAAATTAAGTAACCATTTTTGCCGTCATAGTCATAAATTTTTCATAAAAAAATATAAAAAAATAAAACCTCATATACATACTTAAACTTGATGTTAAAATAATCCTACATAATATAGTGGATTCTAATACATTTAACTGTTCTTAAAAAGAATATAGTATAATAAAAATTAAAAATGAGAATATTTCAAATCGTAGTTAAATAAAAAGTATTATGATCTGAACACCCCTGAAAATCTTTAAATTTATAAATGGGAAAAAAATGTCGTAAGAATTTTTTTACCGTTAACAATAATTTAAAAAAAAAAAAAAAAATCCAGACGACATGCATTCAATGGATATCAATTTTCATTGAAAAATACATCCCTACCCCTTACCAAATTGTAGCTAATAACTGATACAATGATACTGTCATAAGGAAAACCTAGACATCCCTTGTCCAATTGAAGTAGAATATTCTGTAACCATGGAAACGTGATTTTAGCTGTGTCTTTAAAACCCAGTAATTTTTAAAAGTTACTCCAAAATTCGCTTGAGGATGAAATGGAACTAATGTTTTAATTTAATTGCAAAATTAAATTCAGGGCTTTTAGCTTCTATTTTTGAAACATGGTTAGAACTGTGTAGTGGAAAAAACATATTTTAAATCAATTAATTTATATATATATATAATATATATATATATATATATATATATATATATATATATATTATAGTTAAACGACCAGATACATGCAACTGTATATGGAAATAAACAACCATTAAATTTATTCATGAGATGTAGACACAACAGTGCTTAATGTGGTTAGACAGTGCAAAGATATCTATTAATAAATACACATATACCTACGTTTTGGTGTGAGACTTAAGTTTCGCTGGTTTTCCAGCTCTTCATGCACAAAGTGTGTGTGTGTATATATATATATATATATATATATATATATATATATATATGATGGCAGGCATCATCAATAAAACCATTATTTGTGCAGATAAAAATTCCTACAATGAACAAAATGTGTAACATAGGAGTTCATATTATTTTGTCATTTAATTACCCACTCTAAATCAGTATGCAATATTTTTATCAATGTAATATGATTATAATATTTTACCCACAATAGGACATCATCAGGAGAAATGTGGAATGTCTACAGAAGAGCTTTTCTATTCACTTAAGAATGATTCAGCAAAGAAAAATGAGCCAGACAGAATTTATTAGCAGGATTCACTGTCTGGAACTGTGTGACTGGATTTGAATATAGATGCTTACAAGGACACAGGAAATAATTTATAAGCAGAATCAACTTCAAAAGTTGACATACTCAGTTCTCTGATATGAAAAGAGAATGCCATTTCAATATTGGAAAATCTCTCTTTGTAATTTCCATAATATCATTAAATTACGGTCGTTCTGTATTTTGGTCAGAGTATCTTTAATGCACCAAAGGAGATTCTTCATAGAGTTCGGGCTGAATGCTGATATTTCATTATTTCAAATTCTGTGTGGACTTTCTGTTCATAAGTTAATGTAAGATAGATGGAAAAGTAATAGTTTTATGGATAAAAGTTTGCCTCTCACTTAGAAACTGTTCTTTGCTTTTACGGTTGGTAGATTGATTTTGTTTAACACCATGTCAACATGTGTGGATTATTTATTCCTTAAATCTAAATATATTTTACATTTACATTTTTTTTACTAATTAACCCATAGCTGGGGGAGAAGAGGTAGATTCATACTTTTCCCAAGGATATTTGCACTTCAGTGAATATAATGATCCCAACTGGAATTGGAACAATTTTGAGCCATTATCCAACCTATACACATCCAAGCGTACGGCACCAGATATTCCCAAATGGTCACCCATCTAGATACTGACCAGGCTCGGTGTTGCTTAACTTTGGTGATCATATGGGAAATATTATTTAGCCATAAGTCTCTACTTTTATGCTGTTCTGATTATGACGATAAACTGCATCCAGCAGCAAGGCCTCTGATCAGGAGGTTTTAAAGAGTGTGGAACCACCACTTTATTGGTGATGTTAGGGTCCCAACTATGGATAAATAGTTCTGCCCTCCCACAAACTGGTGTCCGAATACTAAGAAAGTGTAAAGATGGGTTTTTATAATAAAAATGCCAGCAATACAAATTGCAATATATAAAATGCACATTCACAGAAATTGATTCCTAAGAACTACAAATTCCCCTCAATGAGGCCACCTGTTTGCCGTGTGTAATATCCCAGCAACAGAAGGGAGATAACCCATAGAAACACAAGAGTTAGGTCCCCTCCAGACATCTGGTGAATCTTAATCAGCAGCTTCACAGCAAAAGGGAATAGGAGGCTACCATCACCGGAGGGACAATCAAGAACCATCCTAAAATCCTAGCAAGGCATTAATCGACGCCTAGCAAGCATCGATAGCTTCTTGCGCAGAACATTACACCGTGGGTGGTGACTTGTGATGCCTGGTAACTCCTGATCCAGTATAAAATGACCAGGAGTGTCCACAACATATCACTTCGGTTTCTACCTGGGATAGACAGGCGGATGGAATAGCCCAATCCATTCCAATCAGCTAGTCACATCGTGGTAAGGGATAGACAGGCGGATGGAATAGCCCAATCCATTCCAATCAGCTAGTCACATCGTGGTAAAGGATAGAACAGGCGGATGGAATAGCCCCAATCCATTCCAATCAGCTAGTCACATCGTGGTATAGACAGGCGGATGGAATAGCCCAATCCATTCAATCAGCTAGTCACATCGTGGTAAGGGATAGACAGGCGGGTGGAATAGCCCAATCCATTCCAATCAGCTAGTCACATCGTGGTAAGGGATAGACAGGCGGGTGGAATAGCCCAATCCATTCCAATCAGCTAGTCACATCGTGGTAAGGGATAGACAGGCGGATGGAATAGCCCAATCCATTCCAATCAGCTAGTCACATCGTGGTAAGGGATAGTTGGGATGATAGATAATGGCTTTGACATGGCTGTGTATCTTTACACTATACTATACTTGGGTAGATATGGTGGGGGAATGTGGGTGCTTGTATCCACTTTCATCACAGTTATACTGTGTGACCCTGGTGGATCAGAGCAAATGGGATTAGTCTCCCCTGATAGTGTCCCTGAAGAAGGAACTGAGGTGGGTGGGGAACGCAGTGAATACAAAAATCAAAATTATATGGCTATCTGTTATAAATGAGGCAAGAGACATGAGACTTCTGAAACAAAGTGAAAGCAATATGAGAAAAATAGCAATTTTCAACTTTCATGGCGAAATATCAAAAGTGTCTCCTTTTGTGTTGCAAAGGGTTATGTCGGCCATGATTGAAACAAGATCTGTAAAAAAAAAAAAAAAAAAATACACTTTTAATTCAAGTAAAAACAAAAAAAAAACGCAGAAAAATTACTAAAAATCAAGCAAATAGACAACAATAAAGTAAAGGCTTACTCCCACCAATTTCTTAATTCATCTAAGGGAGTAATAAAATTCCTAGAGGTGTCATTTGGCTCACCAGAAGAAATTAAAAAGGATGAAACCCTAAAAAAAAGCAAGGAGTAACAGATGTCAAAAGAATTCAAATAAAAAGAAATGACACATCAATAAATACAAACGCATTTTGACATTCAACAAAACTACTCTACCTAAAGAAATAAAGATGGGATACTCAATAGTCAAGGTAGAGACAAACAATCTTAATACCTGTAGATTTCAAAAATGTCAGAAATGTGGTCACCCAAAAAATTTTTGTATGAGAGCATCAGTCTGTCAAAAATTCGGGTAACTTGAGTTGGATTGCGAAGAGTCACCCTGTGAAAGGCCTTCTACTCAGCAGAGTATGACATCTTGAAAAAGGACAAGGAAATAATAGGAATAAAATACATGCAAAACATCTCATTCCAAGAAGCCAGAAAAAAGAATGAATCTTATTCATTTCCAACATCATATGCAAATATTGGTAAAATATCAAATCACCAAAATGACATCCAAGAGAACAATGCAATAAGAAGCCAATATATTAGAATTCTAATAAATGAATTAAAACGTCTACTAGAACTACTAAAATATAGTAAATTACACAGAAATCAAACTCCCATCGACAAAACAAATCCTACATACATTTCTTCATTTGTGCTGTCGTGCCAATCTATAAAGTTTGAAGAAGGATGGTCCTCAGGGAGACCTACAGGTTTCATTTGTTCAAAGCCATTTTTAACTATTGGTCTGAAAAGAAATTTGTATATTGCTAACAGTTGAGATTGTTCTGAACAAGTGTTTGATTCAATCCATTGACAAAATACGTTCCTTGTCTTTTTTTATTTTGCATACTTACTGAACTTGTTCTTTCTCCACTTGCAGACTCCCAGCTAACATGGGACTTTATTGCAATACTATAGACACATTATATTTTGGTTCGGCAATATGTAATTGTCTAGTGATCTTAATGTAAGTTGCAATCAATTATTTTCCTGACCCCAAATTGACATCTCATCCCCAAATGTTGTCACAATGTTATGGTAATATTGCATTGTGCTGTACGTGAAAAATTCTACACTGGTCAATTATTACATCAAAATGAATTTCCTTCATTTCACAATATGTATGGATGGTTGGTTGATTTAATGGCATATTAACTCCTTATGGTTCATTTAACACCAAAATTTAATTTTCTTGGTAGCTTTGAAGTAATAAAAATATGTTGTTCTGCTTTCACAGTTGAATACATGGTAGATAATACTCAGCTTTTATGCATATACATGTTTGTGTGGACATATTCACTAGAGGTGATGATGTGTGTATTTTATGTTGTACTTTTGTTGAAATTATATTTTGGAATAGTTGATTTATTTAAGAAATTGTAGGATAATATATGGATTAATGTCATGAGGGAGTTCTTTCATGTTGGTTGTTTGGTTAGTGACATTATCCTCTATGGGTTATTTAAAGCAGAAATCTAAATAATTGTATGGCTTCAACTACAGATAAAACATATTGCTGGTCATCTTAGTATAAATTGTAAAAATATTGGTCTTTCTTTTTTTTTATATAAAAATGTATTGCTGGTATTTTTGCTATGAAAATGTATTTTTATACTTTCATAGTATTTTTGTTTGGGAGTTTCACTATTTGCCCATGGCTGGGACTCTAACAAGTGCTACCACCCCCAGGTAAGGGTGGAGCAGGGAACAGTAGCAATTAAGAGGTGATTCCATGCTCTTCAAAACCTCAATCTCCCAATCAGAGGCCTTGCTGCCAAATGTAGTTTGTCATACCCAGCACTAATATGTATGGTAATAGTAGCAATACTAATAATAGCTGTTTCCTTATAAGGAAACATTTGACATTCATTGACTCTGCAGTTTGTACTACTGTCAGTTGAAATTTATAAAATCATTCTCTTAAAACAATTTTTCAGGAAAATGGATTTCTCAAGTCCAGCAGATGCTATCACCCATTCCAGTATTGATGGAGGTTTCCTTAACCTTTCTTTGAAGTAGTGTTGAATGTCAACATCTTGATTGTTATTACAGTGGAATCTCGTTTCACAAATTTAACTCATTCCTGAAGGCTGTTCATAACCTGAAATGTTTGTAAGCCGAAACTATTTTTCCAATATGAATCAATGTAGAGAAAAAGAAGACAATACAATAAAATTGAAAAAGAAAAGCATGCCACAACACACAAATGTATACAACACGGTGATGACTCGGAAATTATTCCGTTCGGGTTAACTCAGTTCAGCAATGTTGTTCGAGAACCAAAATTTTGTTCAATAACCAGGACATTTTCATCTCAAATTTTCTGTTTGAAAACCGATTTGCTTGACAGGTAAGACATTCAAGAACCGAGGTGGCACTGCATTTTCTCTTCAAATTTCATACAATATCCATTTTAGTTGTTGTTGAAAATGATGTGGTTTTGGCTATCTGTACAATTCTTTGTTTATGATTCTACAGTGCCAGTCCACAAGATTCAAACAAGGGTTGTCTTCGCCAAGTTCAAAAGCCATTTTTCACCATTGATCTGAGAAAGTGGTTGTATACAGTTGACAGTTTAGATATTTCTGAATAGGTTTGATATGATGCATGGCATCCATATGAAAGCCTCAATCTGATGAGATTATTTAAGAATATGACTCTGAATATGATTTTGGTTTTGTAGCAGTTTGTGGTGGTGAGTGAAACTACTTCTTGTGTAGCCTATTCAGTGTTCAATTTCCTGGCCTATTATGTTGCATTTACTTTTACTTAAATGCCCAGGGAAAAAAAAAAACAGTAAGTCATCTCTTTTTCGTTGAAGCTGTGTGTTAGATAGTAGGGTAGACTAGCCTCTACAGCCTTTTCAAGGTAAAGACAAATCTGAATTCAAAACAATGCTGAAGGTAACAGAAAACCATTCCAATATCTTTGCTAAATCATTGTTCTGTCTTAAAATTTTGCTTGGTTTTCTTGAAATAATTATATCAACATTATCGATTCTCAGGTCTACTTAGCTTCATTTAAAAGGCCAATGTCACAGAATTTTCTAGCTATATTTGTCCAATTTTTATTTATTCCATATCAATGAAACCTGAGTAAATACATATTGTTATGGGGAGGGCTTGTTTTAACAACTAGGTGAGTGACATATTTCTCCACTAGTTTTAAAGTTGGTATTGATGACCAAGTAAACCTAAGGATTGATGTGCTGGTAGCGTGATGGTTATTGGTGCTGAAATTGAAACAGACTGTCTGATTTCAAGTACCAGTATAATTGTATTCCCTATGCACTGATATCCTTAAGAATAGGCATGAATCCACCACTTACTCTAGCAATGGGTTAATAGCAGGGTAGCCTTGGGTGGTAGCCAGTCTAGAAGAAAGAGTACTCTGAATTCAAAACCAGAACAAGTCTACAGGAAGTCACT